TAATAATAATAATAAAATTTTAAAAAGAATAGCCATATACTCTAAAAAACCAAACCAGAACAAAACATGCCTCTGGAAACTCCTTGAACTTTGATAAATGATGATAGTTATAGAAAAGCTTTAGGCCTTTTGTTCAGAAGGTCACTAAGAGCCATGCTTTACTGGACAATCAACAACAACAACAAATCATGTGGGAGGAGACTGCCCATCCTTAACTCAAGACCCAGCAGGTGAATTCAAACCCCATGCTGTTTGAGATTACAGCACAGCTCCTTACCCCCAGAGCTTTTAATGAAGCTAGAATGGAGAGCTTGTACTTGGGGTAGCTCGTTATGAGTTGAAATAAATTTCAATTCCACAGGACCTAACAATGCCAAATATTATTTTATAACAGTGTGCCTAGAATTTACGGCATAGTTTCTTCTCCCCAAATTGTCTTTATCTCATGATTCTCAATCTCTAATTGAAATTTGAGCTGTAAATAGAATTCTGATAGCCTTTTGCTTTTTTGTTCGTGGTCACTACTGGACCAGACAGAAAGGGATAGAAGAGGAAAGGTAGTCAGTCCCTACTCTGCAGAGCTGTTGCCCTATATGTTCCTACCCAGACCTGTTTCAACTGTGTTCGTTTTAAAACCTCTCCGTGTGATTATTGTGTCTTCTGTGATTTAAAAAAGAATAACAATAGCAAGTTCTGGGTATTCCTCTTAAGTATAGCTTTCTATTCTGATACCAGAGCTATGTGAGTTTTCAACTATGAAAAGGCGTGACAAATAATAATAATAATAGAATTTCCAGATATTCAAAGATCCATAAATGGTACAAACTGCTAAGTGTTTGAATGCCAGTTTGAGCCTACCTATATTCTCTGGGCGGGGGGGTGGGGTGGGGTGTGGGGGGGTGTCAGCCTCTGATCAGGTGAGCACGACGCCCAGCTCAGGTCCCCTGATGCGCGGGCGTGAGGACCACCTCACACAGCCAGGTCGTACACAGAGGCCAGCAGCAGGCCAGCTGTCCGCTCAGCTAACATCGCAGCCCGGCCCAGGGACCACCCCAATTGGACACCGTCAACAGCATACAATGGTGGGGCCACACCTGGCCCAGGTACTCACCTTCCCTTTGCTGTAGTCCCAGAGCTTCAGGGTGCTAGGGACAAAGACAGGCAGTGTCACCAACACACATCCAGACAGGCACCCACCTGGCCCACTCCCACAGTGTGCCCCCCAGCACGTCCTCCACGCTGGGCACATCCCCCACACTGGACAGGACCCAGCCCGTGGGTCAGTGACGCCACGGCACCAAAGTGGAGGTGCTCACATCAAACCTCTTCACCAACAGCTGTGGTCAGCAAGGATCAAATCCAAGTCACATGGCAACCTGCCCAGCCAGTGGTGCACTGACCCATACCAGAAGCCCACGCTGTGCCCACTCAGAGTCCAAGGGCAAAGCGCCGTCCAGGCCAACCCCACTGCCACTTCCTCACATGAGGAAGGGGCCACTCCATCCTCAGGAAGGTGACGGCCAGGGCAGGCCGGGCCAGGCGACCCTGGCCCTCGGCCCCCGACACAGCCACCGTCCCAGGCAGGGCACCACCCGGGCCTGAAGGTACTACTCACTTGTCTAGAGTGGCGGCAAGAATGTACTTGCCGTTCGGGGAGAACTTAACGAAGGACACGGGAGGATTGTCGTCATCTGCAGACAGAAGGCGCAATGAGCCAGAGCCCGGCCCCCGCCCACCTGCCCAGCAGCCAAGGCCCTCCCTCAGGTGCCCCTCCTTCACCAGACACTGCACCTCGGTGACAGTGCGCCCTCCCATAGGGCCCTGACCTCCTCACAGGAGACTAGGGAGCTGAGGGGACGCCACGCCCTCCGCTAAGACACCCAAGGCGGCCTGGGACCCCACCGTACTCAGGGTCTGTGCTGGAGTCCGGCGGGCATGCTGGGGGTCTCGCAACACAGGGTCGGGGAGCACTGCTAACACCCCCAGTGCCACGGCCCTCACTGCTCAGTCTACGTGGCTAACCACAGGGATCCCGGGAACACAGCTCCCCACGTGCCCCACCCCGCCCGAGAAGGGCCAGCAGGGGCCAGGAGCCCAGTGCTTCCTTCGTGCTTAGACCTCAGAACATCACCTGGTGGGGGCTTTGCTCGGAACATGCACCCAAGGATGGGGACAGGTGAGGGAGGTTGGCGAGCCAGGCCACCCCTCCAGCCCCCCAGAGGGTCTGCATGCCAGTCCTGAGCTTCGGGGAGCGGCATGCACGTTACCACACTGGAAGGCCTACCCCCTCACCCTCGCCCTCGTCGCCCAGCTCCAGGGGCCTCAGGTCCCTACGGCCCTGCACCTGCACTGTAAGAGCACGTGAGAAGTCACGAGGGGCCCTCTCAAAGCTGCACCCCAAGCCCAGAGGAGTGCTGCCCTGCCTCCTCTCAGGAGATCTAACAGAGCTCCCGGAAGAGCCAACTCCCAATGCGGCACGCAGCCCCCCAAAGCCCGACTGTAGACGGGGCGCTTCCGCCTGGGCCACTCCGGGCCAGCAGTCTCCAGGGCCATCCTCGGGTCTGTTTCCCACAATACGAGATACCGAGCACTGGGGTGGCATGGCGGCACCCACGGTCGGCCAGTGCCAAGGGGTGCTGCACAGAGGATGCAGGTGGCAGGCCCATGCTGGGGTGTCTGCAGGGAGGGGCACATTGCCTCACTCCACAGCTGTGTAGGACACAGGCCCCCACTTCATTGGAGACTCCTGGCTCCCCTCCAGGCTAGCACCAGAGGTCAGCTCTGAAGACCTCCACCCCATTCCCACTCAGGCCTCAACAAGTTCCCACATCTGCCAGCATGTCCCCCGTTGTGTCCCAAGCACTCTTCTGGCTCCAGGGTGCATGTCCAGCTCCAGGACAGGTGACCTGTACTATTTACGTCACCCCAGCTTGGGGACTACGGAGCAGGAGCTGTCCCCCTCTGGGAACCCAGCCTAGGGGTTCTCACAGGGAATCCCCAGGGCGGGCTGGGGGCCCAGAGGCCACATCTCGGAGGAGGGGCGTACTGACGAAATCCAAGCCCAGAAGTATGGAGACATGGACCCCACCCAGAAACCCACTGTCACCAAGTCCATGCCAACGTGGGGCACCTTCTACTGGGTCTGGGGACTGTCTAAGACTGCCCACATTTCCTTCGGAGCAGCTCATGAATTCAAACTGCCCTCTTAGAGCCAGCAGCCTGCAGGTGACACACAGGCACCCACCATGGCTTTCCCTGAGAGAGAAATGGGCACAAAGACAGCTTTCCCACAAAGGGACACCAGGTGATCAGTAGAGGGGAACCAGAAGTGGTCACAAGGGTGACAGACCAGGACAGAGCTCATGAAAGAGGAAACCATAAAACAACTAGGAGATACCATCTCACCTCAGTCAGAACAGCACAATTTAACAGAAAAGCAAGCAACAAATGCAGGCGAGGTTGTGTAGAAACTGGAACCCTTATTCACTGTTGGTGGGAGTGTAAAATGGTGCAACCACTGTGGAAGGCGGTGTGGTGCTTTCTCAAAAAGTTGCAAATAGAGATACCGTTTGACCCAGCAATTCCACTACCGGGAATATATCCCAAAGAGACCATAACTGCCACCCAAGCAGATATATGCACACCATGTTTACTGCAGCTTTGTTCACAATAGCAAAGAGCTGGAAACAACCCAAGTGCCCATCAACAAACAAATGGATAGAGAAGCTCTGGTATATTCACACAACGGAATACTATGCTACATTGAAAAACAAGGAACTCATGAAATATTATTCAAAATGGGTGACCCTCGAGGACATTATGCTGAGTGAAGTATGTCAGTCACAAAAGGACAAATACTGCATGGTGCCACTGTTGTAAAACAGGACTGACATTGGGGTTGGGGGGAGACTGAGAAAGATGGGATAAATGATGTATACTGCATTGAAACAGATGAGGGAGAAAACTGTTTTAAAAGGATATGTGATTAGGTATTTTTGTCATGACAGGAGTCTAGAGCGAAGGCTGCACTGTGGAGTGGACTTGGGGGGAGGGATTGTAAAACAATGAAAGAATTTTTCTTTTACTTTACAAAGAGAAGAGTGTACTGGGGAGGCAGGGGGAAGGGTGGGCAGGGAGAAAAGTGCAACAACGAATGAAGGAAATCCAAAGTCTCTGTAAATTTTCATTAAAATCAGTAAAAAAAATGATAAAAAATAATTTTAAAGGTTAAAAAAAAAAAAAAAGAGGAAACCCTGGCAAAGGGGCAGCTTCCCGGGAAACCACTGAGAGGCAAGACCACACAGCACAAGGCCAAGTCCCTGCAGAAGAGGAGGACCCTGCCCAAGCCTTCTAGGGTGTAAACCAGCCCAGTGGTGTCCTCCGACCTCAGGCTGCACAGCAAAGGCCAGCTCCCCGACAGTGGGAGAACCCCAGTGTCCACACTGCTGGGAACCCTGGTGATGCAGCAGTTAAAGCACTCAGCTGTGAACCCAAACTCAGTGGTTCAAACCCAACAGCTGCTTCTCAGAGAATCAGGCAGAGGTCTGCGTCCAGACAGATCACGGTCTTTCCACGGAGAGGCCACAGCCCAGCTCCCAAACTGTCCACGTTCTCAATTTCTTCACACGAGAACATCACCCACCTAGTGTGCCCAGGAAGCTCTGCTGGACACAACATCGCACAGGGGGTCCAACACAGCACCCCCCGCCTGTAACCATCTAAGCCTCGGAGAGCGATGGAGGCTCCCAGTGGAGTGGACTTGAAGGCACCGGATTTGGTCCCTTAAACGTATCAAGGCGCCTGGCTGCACGTCCTAGGTTGGTGATTTGAACAACTGTCTCTGCAGGGGAGGAGGGGGAGGATTTCTCTGGGATGGAGAAGTGCCCGAAGGTCTCCGAGCCCATCGCCCACGGCAGCCCGTTGCCACGTGCACCTGGTGGGGCATTTCAAATGCCACCCTTTGTAAGTAGCTAAGGCCAGTACCACTGCTCCACTGGGCCCTCTAATCTCAACCCTGCGTCCAAGAAAAGCAGGAGACCCTCAGAGAAAAGGAAGCCGATCCCACCCGCGTGAGATGAAGACCTGAAACCCAGGCGCTCACCAATCAGCGTCTTCAAGCACTGGCCCGAAGCTGTGTCCCAGATTCGGCTGCGGAAAAACCAAACCTTTGGTTAGAACCACTGACCGTGGCAACAGACCACCACAGGGCAGCCTCTCCCCAGGCTCGCTCCGCTCTCCAGGTTGTGGCTGCCTTAACGTCAGCTCCTCACACCCACGGCTGCACGTACGCACGCCTTCACCCCGAGGGGATGGTGGCTGAGGTGCGCACTAGCTCACGGACGCCCACCCCGGCTCTCGGGCCCAGGAACGGGTTCCTTTTACATGGACATGGAACATGTGCCATCATCCAGACACCTCTCCACGGGCTCGGTCACGTCACGGCCCAGAGCAGGACACTGAACTCCGCCGTTTCTACAGCCCTGTCACAGCAGGCGAGGGCTGAAGGACAGGCCACGGGAATTCCAGTTCTCAACGAGCTTGACCGTGATGCCAGCACGCCAGCATGGGCGTGCTCAGATCCCAGACCACTGTGGTGATCCCATCACTGCCTCCCTCCAATCGTGGTTACGGACGGGCTGGTCCAAATCCTGCCAGTTAAGTCATCAGTGCGTCCCCTCCTCCACTGACACCTGTTAACGTCCTCAGTAGACCTGTCCAGGGGCACATTTTGGACCCACAGCTGGGTTCCGTCTGCAGAGCTGTCTGACACTGATCCTCATATTCAGAACTACTTTCTCAAGTCTGGATGCTAAACAGTGCTCAAACTTGAATTTCCTGCCTGCACTGGGCGTCTTCGGCTGTAAGTCACACGGAGAGTGTCCGTCTGCACCCCAAGGAGCTGCTGGTAGGTTCAAACCAGAGGCCTGCCTTGCTTTGGGTTAAACCCTCAGACCACTCACCAGAACCACCTCGGAAGCTGCCTTCACTCTGCATGACCTGAAACCGTTTCAATCACCTCAGGTCAGCGCTAAACCCACTGTCGCTGGAGCCCAACGCTGGGCGATCTCCCTGGGTTTCTGGGATCTCAGGAGTAGAGGAGCTGGTGGGTTAAAACCACTGAATCCCTGGCCAAAGAGCCCAGCATGCAGCCCAGCACCGCCTGCTTGTTCACTAGGTCCCAGACATACACCCACAGCACATGCTGTTTTTAGACTTGTAACCATTTTTCCTAGAAGGAACCGTGTTGGTGCAGGTACTGAGCCCCAGGCTGGAAACAGAAAAGGACCTTTTCTAGGAAGGTAAGAGCCCAGGAAACCCTCCAGGGCCTTGAGAACCGGTGACGGGGTTGATCAGTGCATCTGCCCCTCTGGGAAGGTTCGCTGAGGGAGCGGAGAACGGAGCGATGTCTCAAGCGTCAGGACTTGAACCTCCCCACCCAGTCCCTGCAGGGGACCAGGCCACTTCACGATTCTCTCCTCTCAGCGGCCCACGGTGGCCCACTGTGGTCCCCGGGGCTTTGGTCCTTTCATCGCTCTGCTTCCGCAAGTCCTAGTAGCGCCACAAGTACATCAGGAGCGCTGGTGGCACAGTGGTAGGAGCTGTACCGCCAACTCAAAAGTGCACGGTTCAAATCCACCAACTGCTCCGTGGGAAAGGGCAATAAACCTCCCTGAAATTTTACAGCCTTGGAAAACCTGGAGGGCCAGCTACGGATCGGTTCCGACCCAACGGGTCCCATACGTGACACCACAGCATAAAGGGTGGGCTGACGGTCCAACGGACAGAGGACGAAGGCCACGGCTTCAGACACCCCCGGACAGTTTGCCCGACAAGTTGTGGAGACGCTGTGCCAGTGGCCTGGCTTCTCTTTCTAGCTGATTTTTGCTTTCTCTTTTAATTAAACTTGAAGTTTTAATTACTTTTCTGCACTTAGCAAGGATACACCTTATCTTAATGTCCCAGTTTTCTTTCTTGCATTCCCCTTCCGGCCTTCTCAGTGCTGAGGGCATTCCCGCGGGGAGTGAAGCAGGCGTTTTCTGCGGGGTCTGCAGCAAACCCTGAACACAGACCACGAGCTCGTGCTCTCGTGCTGTCCTCTCCTCTATCAGAGGCTAAAAGCTGCACCTTAACCGCCCCCTCCCCCGAGGTCTCATTCTGTACTTGTTGGTGCTGCATTGCTTGGTGCATAAAGTTTGATTCTCAGGTCTTCCTAAGTGTGGCCTTGCTCATTAAAGCTACTTTTTTCTGTCCTTTTGGAAGTACCCGAGGCCCCAAAGTTCCCCAGGAGCGAAAAAGTTGGCAGTCTAAACCCACCAGAAGCTCCTGAGGACGCAGCCCTCCAGGCCTCTGCTTCTGAGAGGTCACAGGACTGCTCCCGGCCCCGATGCACGCGGGCAGCAGTGGGAATCTGCACGATGGCATCTGCCCACCGTCCTGGTTAAGCTCCACTGACCACTAAAAGCATTCCTCACTTTGTATCTGTTTAATGTCATCTGTCTCCTGTGAAGCACTATCAACCTTTCAGATAAGCTTCTTAAATCAGACTATTGTTAAACCCTCTGAGTGTGTCTCTTGCAGCACTGAGCACCTTACAGGCCCGTTCCGTGTGCCCCTCCCCTCCGTGTGCCCCTCCTCCCTTACCCTCATCTCTAAATGTGGACGAGGTTCCAGCACACTCTTCCCCGTTAACCAGGACGTCAGACTACACCCATCACCACAGCACAACCTCCACCCACAGCACCCGCTCCGGGTCAGGACAGAGATGGTGCGACTAGCTCTCTCCACCTCGGAGTCTGTAATCACGGTGAGGGCTGGTGTCCCTGTCGTCTCAGGGCTCTGCTTCACGACTACCTGCCATCCTTACTGGATCAGAGGACACCCCACTTCTGGAGGCCTGGGGTCCCAGCGCAGCCTCCTTCACCGCAGGGGCTCAGCTCCTCCATTCACCAGGCTGGGCAGTCCATCTTGGTCCACACAAGACGCAGCTGGTGAGCTCGTCCTCTGAGCCTGCTCACAACCCCACGTCACTACGCCTTGACCGCACGTCCTGTGCACCGTTTCACACACTACTCACTGCCCACCGCTCCTGTCCACAGCCTCAGGTCCTCGACTGCACCCCGTGTGTACCTGCCACGCTCCCTTGGACTCCACACTCCCCTGGATCACATGCTGTGCACTTGTCCACACCTCCCCGACTCTGTGTGTGTGTCCCCGTCCGTCCTAGGCAACCTTTCACACACACTCACTAACAAAGCAACACAAACTCACCAGAGGCCGTCATAGCTGCTGGACACGATCAAGGACCCGTCTCGATTGAAGTGAACCTAAAAACGGGAGCAAGGGCTCGTCTGTAAAACCTGAATACTGCGTCCTCCGGCGGCCCTCAGTGGACACCCGCCAGGGTCCACTCAGGCTGCCAGGGAGCCATTCTCTGCTGTGGTTCTAGAAACTTCCAGAACTCTCAAGCAGGCCACAAAAAGAAAGCTATTGCTCTACAGCCTCTGTCCAGTTGTCACGGCACTAGCCCCTTCACCACAACTCTGTTCATTGGTCTCCCTCCCTCTCTTAAGTACTTCTCCTCACACCCCACAGCACTCGGGCCAGCAATACGGGCTCCTCTGTCACGGTCACTATGCTAACTAGTAGCAAGTTGTGACCGCGTCAAACGCCAGCACATCCAACCCGAGTTAGCCTTCAACGGGGTCTAAAAACGACCACCACCGGACGTGGCCCAGCCCCTCCACCTTACCCGTGCCGAGCAGCCCCTACCCTGGGGGCAACACCCACAAATCCACAGGCAGCCGGCCAGCAAGCTCCAGGAACAGAGTCCCAGGCAGCCACTGTGGTGGACAAAGGTCGCAGGCGGCTTCCTGAGGCAGCTGTTGCTGGCATAGGTGGCCCTGGAGTGGACGTGGCCCACGGCAACTCGGGGATCCGTCCAGGAGCGGGGTGCCCAGCCGTCCTTCGGCAGGCCTGTGGGCTGACGGTCATCCGCACACCGGTCCCAACACCCAAGGACCTCTCAACCCACCCTGTTACTCTAAGTGGAGTGGGAAGGGGGAAGACTTTATATTTAAGTGACGGCCACAGAGCGAAGACCTCACAGAGTAGTCAGGACACTGACTTTTCACACCGACATGATGTCCCTCTTAAAATGGGTACATGAGACTCGGGCAAGAAACGTTTAAAGTCCCATCTACTGAGAGAGGGAGTCCTGATGGTGCTGGGGTGAAGTACCAATGGCTAACCACAAGGTCGGTGGTTCAAGTCCCCGAGCTGCTCCATGAGAGCACGATGGGCCCTGAAGACCCTGTGAGCAACTCCACCCCACGCTACGTGATGATGCCACGTCAGAAACCACCTAGTGACACGGTCCTGTGAGGTGGGACCCTCACACCTCTGCACGCACCTGGATGGCGTCTGCAGTACAGAAGGGCCAGACCTCATGCTGCACCCACCACCCAGTTACCCAGCAAGCGCTTGCATCTTTGCCAAAGGAGTGGGGTCCTCTTTCACAGAGCCCTCCTGGGGGGCCCCCACATGCTCCTGTGGACACAGCAGACACCTCACAAACACTGCCACTCATTTCCCCACTGAGCCGAGCAGAGCTCTCTCTGGGTGTCCCCACAGCCACGTCACCCCTGCGTGCCCCGAGCAGGGCGGGAGCCCAGGTCACGGCCCCAAGGAGGACCTACCGCTGAGACCGGGTCCGAGTGGGCTGGCAGGGTCTTCAGACACTTGCCCGTCTTCACATCCCATATCCTCACGCTCTCGTCAAACTGAGACCAGAGAGAGAGAGAGATGAAAATGATACAGCCAGGGGCCCCTGTGCAGCGGGGCGGACTGTCCCCCGGGCCCCGCCCCCGGGGAGAGGAGCCTGTGCTCACGGAGCCTGAGACGATGAGGTTGGACTGGGGGTTGAAGTTGCAGCAGAAGACGTAATTGCTGTGTCCCTTGAGGGTCTTCAGGCACTTCCCCTGAAACGGCATCATCACACTCGGTCATGCATTCCCTGCGAGCCAGCTCGAGAATGCAGGCAAGACCCTGCAGACCGGTGTCCCCAAATCCCACTGGTGACCGCGTCCCCTCCCCCACGCCCACTGACCGAGCTCACATCCCAGATCTTCAGGGTTTTGTCATCTGAGGCAGAGACCAGGAGGTTGGAGTCTGATGACCAGGCCACGTCGGAAATCCCCTAAGGGAGAGGGAGGGTCAGCAACTCAACAAGGAAAGGTGACCGAGCCACCCGAGGGGAGAATTCCCGACGCCCAGGGGACACGGGCGAAGAAACACTTCAGACTCTGGAGACCACAACCAACCCAGACACACACCTGGACCAGCAGAGACAGCGGGGGCTGAGACACCCAACTGCTAAAGGAACCCTCCACCCCAAGTTCTCAGGATCCGTGTCCCCACCCACTGCACGGAATCCAATCAGGACGGGACCTACCAGTTTGTGACCAGATATGGTTTTCTCAAATTTTCCATCATATGCTCCCCAAATCTTAATGAGTTTATCAGCAGCTGAAAGGAGATGAAGAAGCTGAGGTGCAGGACACCACGGCCAGGCAGCTAGCCGGCAGGTGAGACCCCAGACCCAGACCTCTGCCCTACTGGCACCGGGCATCAGGACAGCTGAGAGGTTAGGAGCCAGGCAGCGCGTGGCTTGCCCTCTTCCCCTCCCCGATGCCACCACGTCAGGGACAAGAAAAAAGCCCCCCTTCCCTGGGCAGGAATGCCAGCACAGCTGACCCTGCACTAGGTTCTCAGGCTGCAGGTGAGGGGAGGAGCTTGCCTGTCAGAGCCACTGGGGAATCCCAACCACCAAGCTTTAAGTCAGCAGCTCGATTCACGGCACGGGCACGTGGGACGCACGCTGGCTGCAGGTGCCCCAGCCCAGGTCAGGATGGAGGCCCACCCAGGGGCTTCCGGGTTGGGGCACTCACAGGAGCTGGCCAGCCACTCGCCGTTGGGACTGAACTTCACAGAGGACACAGCCTTCGTGTGGCCGGCCAAGGTGAACTTGAGAGCGTAGTTTGGCTTGACAGGGGTAGGCTGTAGAGAGACGGTCAATGTCAGAGCCTGCAAGACCACCACCCACGGAGTGAAGGTGCTGTTCCGAGCGGATCACGGCTATCTTCCAGAAACACAAGGACACAGTGCTGAAGGAGACTCTAACCTGCTCTGTGAACGTTCACTCAAACCACAGTATTTTAAAACGGCAAACTGCAGCTGCTTCTACCCACTCACCTGCTCGCCAGCTTGGGCGTGGCGTCCACAGCATTAACCCAGACCCACCCTTGGTCCCCTCTCCTGGGCCAAATGAACCCAAATGAGTGCGCTCGCTGTTCCAGGCATTGCCGGTTCCGAACCCCAGCAACCACGTGTCTGACAGCTGTCCTGAAAGGCGGTCATCTCGATGAGAGCCAATCCCGGGCCTGGCTGGTGGATTCAAATCAGCTTTTAGGAGCTGAGTGCTTAACGACTGTGTCACCAACATTTCCTGCTGAGCTCATCAAACCCAAACCCATTGCCATCAAGTCAGTTCAACTGTATGTGGCCCTCAGAGGGTATCCATGGCTGAACCTGTCACAAAAGCAGACGGCATCCCAGCACAGCCAAGGACTCCCTCTCCCCCTCCACCCTACTTCTGTCCTATCTTCTGGTTCCACCACTCCAGCCAGACCGCAAGGTCTCAGCACCCTAGACCCCACATCCGTCTGCTCCCATCACTGGGACGCTCCATGGGCTGTCACCACAGAGGCCTCTGCCAGCTCTGGACTGCGTTCTGCACCCCCCCCTGTCCAAATCCAGCCTCCCCTGAGCAGATGAGGCCATGTGACCGCTGAAAGGCCAGCTTGTGTCCTGCTGTCTAGAGAAGGGGCCGTGGGCTTGGATGGGGCTTGGGGTAACGAGACTCCTTGTTAAATCCACTCTCAGCCTTAGACTCTGGACCGGGAAACTCCGTGTCTGGTAAGCCCCTGGGGCGAGCTGGGGTGGTCCTGGGGGCCCCAGAGCAAACGTGTTCAGGAGTCAGCTGAGCAGCGATGGGGAGCGAAGTCAGGAGGACAGACAGGGGTGCTCAGCACGTACCTTGCTCTGAGTAGCCGAGGACGAAGGGGTCGGCTGGGCCCTGGCGGCCTCCGTCTCTGGCTTCTTCTCCTCAGTAGCCATTGTTCCACAGCCCAGCAGGCAGGGGGACAGCCAGCCAGTCACCGAAGAGTCTGCTCACCAAAGCCTGAGGGACCAAGGTCAGTGAACAAACTGTAACCTGAAAACACAGCCCCTGGAAACGAGGAGCAGAGAGGAGAACCACGCGGGGGCCTATGGCAAGTAGGGTTTCAAGGTGGGGTGCTACACTTCTCAGACGGGGTGCCAAGCAGCCCGCACAGCAGGTGGAGCCCCGGTACTTCCGGGCCTCCCTGATGCCATCAGCAGACATCAGCAGGTCTTCCGTACAAGTTCTCGGAGCCCCTGAAGACCCAGAGAAACCATCCCGTGAGGCGGGGCTGGGCGGGTGCGGCGGGTGTGAGTGACCACATGGGGTCCCACAGCTCTGCAGCCTCAGCACACCGGCCTCAGGTGAGACCAGGCCAGAACACAATGCCCACTGCTGTCCGCATCGTGGCGACCTTCCATCAATCAGGCTTCCAAGGCGGTGAAGCCTTCCGGGAAGAAGCCGCCAGAAACAAGCTCCCGGAGCAGTGGGGGATGTGAACGGCCGAGCTTCCCGGGAGCCCAGGATGAAGTGCAACCACGACGCTCTGCAGAAGCAAAGGTGGGCACACGGCTCGAGGCAGTGCTCCGGGAAGACGGGCAACTGCCTCCAATAAGCCGCCAGAGGGTCAGCTGGGGGTCGATTCCAACTCTACGGTACACAACAGCAACAGCACCAACAACCACCACGACTGTGTAGAAGCAAAGACGAGAAACCTGATCTCATGTTCTGCGGGCGTGTGGTCAGCAGGGGCCAGTCCTTGGACAAGACACCACGCTGGGCAAAGTGGAGGGTCAGAGAGAGACAGGAGGACCCACAAGACGGGCTGACACAGCGAGTGGACCAGCGGGGGGCAGCAGGGCGCAGGCGTGCTGGTCACAGCATCACCATGGGCACACTTGATGACCCCTAACGGTCTCCCCACAGCAGCCACAAGAGCCCCTTTCGGCCTGGCCTAAGGAGCCTCAGATGAGGCCCGACCTCGGCCACAGACTCGGCCCAGGAGGGAAGAGGTCACCGCTCCGTCAGCGTCCACTTCCCAAGTGCAAACACTCAAGACCAGAGCGAGCCGTCTCCCGTCCTGGGCACAGACTCCATCGGCAGATAAAGCCAAAGCCAAACTCGCTGCCGCCAGGACCCTGACTCGGTGACCCCACAGGACAGCGCTGCCCCTCACCTCTGACCTTTCCGGTGGCACAGAGCTGGGCACGGGGTGTCTCTGTGAGTCAGCACTGCCCCAGGGGGCACCAGAACACCCCAGCAGGACCTTTCCTGGGGCAGGTGACATGTCCCTCCCCATCAGAGTCTGATGGCTTCACTGCTTACTCCAGCACTTAAGCACTGTACCACCAGGGCATCTCCACTCCCAATTACTCAAACATTGAGGACATTTCTGGTGGTGAAGAGGGAAGAAATTATGCAACAATGATTTTTTTTTTTAAAGTCAAGGGCTTGGGTAGGGAGGAAAATGCAACAAACGAATGAATGAAAATTAACTTTTCTGTGAACTTTCACTTAATTAACGATTAAAAAAAACCAGTAAATAAAAGTTGGGGATATCTCTATTGAAGAGATGCCAAGCCTTTCTTATCATCCAAAGCCCCAAGTTGGCTCCACCATTACCTAACTAACCCCCTGTAAATTCCAGAGTGGCGATTAAAGACGTAAAGTGCACCCAGGCCTCTGTGACGTGGAAGTCACCAAGAACAACAGCATCTCAGTCTTCACCCAAAAACCCACAGTGCACAAAGCGTCTCTGGCTGGGAGGCCCACCCGGGATGACCCAGCCAAGGCCAATCACAGGCGAGCTGACAGTGCAGGTGCCTCTGGTCCCCGTGGACCACAGTGGGAACAGAGCATCACCAGGAGCTGGTCTCCAGCCTCAAGAAAAGGACAGCCCCAGTGTCAGGGGTTTGGCCTCCAAGGGCTACAGCTCTGTTGGCCTCGTGGTAAGGAGTTGTGCTGTCAATCCAAAGGCAGAGGGTTCAAATCCACCAGCCGCTCTGAGGGGGAAAAAAAACCAAAAACGCAATCTCCTCCTGTGCAATTCACAGCCCCTGACAATGCAGTGGAGGGTCGGCTTTGGAGAGCAAAATGGGCAGCACTGGCTGAGAGTTCTTTTTAACCTGGAGAGTAGAAACTCACCTGGCCAGGAGGACCAGTCACCCGCAAACTGAACCCCACCGATGAAGAGCAAAGAGAACAAAGGGGTGGATGTCAATGGAGAACAAGGACGGAGAAAAGCCTGGACACACGGGAACTACGAGGCTGAGGGTGGAAAGGACACGATGTTGGCCAGCAACCACCACTGACCACTCTAGAAGGGGTCCTGGGAGAAGGTGCTGGGCAGGGGCTGAAAATGGGGAGTGCTCAAACACACCGTCAGGGCCTGGGAGAACCCTGAGAGTGAGGTCCTCGGTTACCTCTGAGCCTGGAACCAAACTCCCCAACACTCAGCTTCAGCCAAGCTGACCAGCCTGTGAGGCGGCCTGCGACACTGGACAGGTACTCCCCTGTCCGAGTCTCCAATAAAAGCCCCTAAGACCAAAAGGCCAGTCTGTGCCCAGGGGGAAAGCTCCAGAAGCAGGAAGGGGCAGGACTGATGGAGGCGGCAACCAGAGAAGCGGGAAGGGTGGTCCCCAAGCCCTAGGATGTGTTTAAATGAATGGGGGGGAAGAGAAAACTCCTTTACTTTGTAAACATTCACCCAACCTTAATAAAACCAAAAAGCAAAGCCTTTGGTCTTCCTCTCCCCCTTGACTTAAGTCTGAGCACCCAGATGGGGACGACAGTGCTTCCCTGGGTGGGGGCCCAAGCACCTCGTTTCTCGCACGGGGACCCCACTGCTGTCCAGACAGGGGAGCCCCTAGACTTGGGAAAATGCGGGTTCCCCAGCTCCATCCTGGGCGTCAGAAGACGTCCAGACCCTCAGCAGCCGTGGGGCGCTCAGCTCTGCACCCAGCTCCGGACACCGCTCCCCGCTTAACGGGCGCGCTCCCAGGCCTAGGGTAGCGCCTGTCGCAGAGCTTAGTGGGGTTTGTAAGGAAAACCGGGGTGCAGGTCAGCCCGGGACACTTCCCAGGAGAACTGGCCGGGGTGTCCCTCCTGCTCGGCCTGGGAGGGTCCGAGGCCCCAGGCAGGGCGGCAGGAGGTGAGGGCCTCCCCTTCCCGCAGGTGGGCTCTTGGGGCCCGATCCCGGCTCGGGGGTTCCTGCAGCGGGTGGGGGACAGTGTCTGCTCTCAGTCTCCGGCCGGGGGTCGCCCGACGACACGGGGGGAGGGGACAGCATGCACGCGGCCTGCAAGGCGGGGGCGGCCCGGGGGGCCCCGGC